TATATATATATATATATATATATATATATATATATATATGGAAAGACAATACCTGTGTAATTGAGACGGGGACAAATCAACACTGTTACTTGAAGGTTGGATCGTTGCTCCCAAGGGAATTGTTATTATTGCTGTTGTTGTTGTTGCCCCACCTTCGAGGTGGGACAACCACCGTGTTCTGTCTACACGGCTTCCGACCCAACACGACCTCACAATCCTACACGCACTCACTCACTCTACATTACTCTTGATCTGACTACCCCGCTCTAATCTCTCTCTGCTAAGCACCTTCTCGCTCGAGCGGTCTTTTATAACCCTTACTTCAAGACGTGCATGCAAGTTCATCCGTCCGACCCGATTAGCAGGTAATTCTTAATAAGTACCTCCTACAATGGTACCGAAGGCGGTACGAAATAAGGTATTGGTGGACCACAGATCTTTTTTAAATCATATTTCAACGCAACGGAAATTTTCTTTACACAGCACGTTTCCATGAAAGGCTCACCCTATAACGATTCTAGCTCATTTAGAGAGCTAAAATACCATGCAGATGTACATCTCGACTATTTGAATAAGCTTCAGACCTCCGTGTTATAGCCTGCCAATGACTGTCACATGATAGGAAGTAACTTGACAGCTATATTCATGCCGATGAACAAGCAGTTTTACCAATTAGGAAAGCGGATCTTTCAAATGAAATTATTTTCATCCTAGATAATTGAGCGCAAAAGGAGTGACCATGACATGATTTCGAAACGTTGTCACATTTGGAAATCATGCATACCAGATTTCCAAGGACTTTTTGAGGCTACTAAACACTTTTTAAAACAACCTTTTGTTACTGACAACTTCCGGATCATGGTCACTTTCTGTACAGAAGTAATAAGTTGCCAATAACCGAAATTTAATGTCCATGAACAGACCCTCCAGAGTGCAAGATAACTCAACAGGGCGGTGAATACATTGGAAGGAAGAACGTGAGCTATTCAGGTTTCGCATGCAAACCTTGGGGGGAAGAATGGAGAACCACAATTCTTGGAAATGGGACGTTCTTCATACCTGCATTTCCGGATTACAAAGAAACTGAGGAAACTCACAACTTCTGTCGCAACCCTGATGGAGACGGCGCTCCTTGGTGTTCCATTGAAAATGATATGAACTTTGAATACTGTGATATTCCCTTCTGCGAGATCCAAGAAGTTCAAGTTGGACCCGAGGGGAACGTGTATCCCGAATGTCGACTGACGGAGAAAGGAAAGGAATATGTGGGTACAAAGGATGTGACTGAGACGGGAAAACCTTGTCTCGATTGGAGTTCTCAGCCGTATGGCATGCCATGGGATTTCTTCAATCAGAAAATGCATTTTTCTGAGCACTTCTTGAATTTGAACCCGTCAATCCACAAGAATTACTGCCGAAACCCTGCTCTGTACAGGGAAAAGCCATGGTGCTTCGTCTCTGACGCAGACATCGAGTGGGAATACTGCGACATTCCTTTCTGTCACAACCTTAGTGCGTCCCTCAACTCAATCTTGGTGAAATTCACTGCTTCACAACTTGAGTGCAATTTCATTCTCTTTTAGAGCCGCCCGAATGCAAGCTAACGGAAATTGGCGGGGAATATGTCGGAAGGTGGAACACGACCATATCGGGATTTCAGTGCAAACATTGGATGGCAAATTTTCCAAGAAGTGGCAATGCGATTAGCCAATTATTGTCTGCATTTCCAGATGAAGTTGATGGGAGCCACAACTTCTGCCGCAACCCTGATGGCATGGGCCATGGGCCATGGTGTTATTTAAGGGAAAAGGGCAAAGGATTTGATTGGGAATATTGCGATGTTACTTCTTGTCCTCAGACAGGAGAACGATGCGATATTCGCGTCTCGGGAAATTGCATAAGTGGGTCTTCTTTCTTCATTGTCTTGAATGTCTTCGGATTGCACACTATCATTTATTCTACCTTTGTGGAACATCAATCTATAAGTTATCCTCTATTTTTCGTGCATTGCATTCCCGCCATTGCTTCCTTTTAAACTAGGTCCAAAGGAGTGCAAAGATGACCGAAAAGGACTGAATTATGTGGGAAAGAAGAACATTACGAAATCAGGTTATCGTTGCCAGCAGTGGATGACCAGGATACCCAATGCTTTAAGAGAAGATTTCTATTGGAAAGCTAAATCATTCCCGGACGACTTACATCCTTCTCACAACTTTTGTCGGAATCCTGATGGATCGTGGAAAGGGCCTTGGTGCTATAATGGAGATGGAACTGATCCTGAAAGAGATGACTGTGATATCGAATATTGTGGATGAGTTCGATTCTACCAGAGAAATGGAAAATTTCCACCAACTTCAAGTAGCTATTTTATTTCCTTTGATGCCAGTCTGAATGAAAATAATGATGTGGTGTCCTTTCCTACACCTACAATACATGTTCATCTGCACCTCCCCTCATTGCCACGGGTATGACACACTCTTTCAAGAATGGGAATATGTGTTTTCATCATGTCCTTTTCCCACATTTCAAGTACAAGTTCCCACATTTTCCCACACGAGATCCTGTGAGAGTGAGACCCAAATGTTCCAATTTTACATATGGCTTTTCATTCCTTTGTCGTTTTCCATCATGAGAGTGAAGCGAAGTCAATCCTTCACCTATCCATCGACTCCATACTCCACACTCCATACTCCATATCAGCGGACTGGCTATTGTGCATATAGTGAGGAAGAAGTGAGATGTGCTCCAATTTGACACGTGTGTTAGGTAGTTTCCTTTTCCTCATGCATGTCTGATGGATTTGATCTTATGCACTTCGATTATGCCTATGATGAGAGATGCCTCTTCGTTGGCATATCACGTTATCAGAACCTCCAGTAGGCCTGTATATTATTGTCATTTGTTGATAACGTATTAATCGGACTTAGGATTGACAATGTGTACGCATTGGTTCCACTTATAATCAGTGAGTCGTATACCCTCGTATGTCCTCGATGTATCACCGTAACCTTTTGACCGCATTGAAGAAAGGCTGCGTATATTGTGCAATGTCTTTTCGTGATATTACATAATACATACATTTTTCTTCCTTTTTCTTTTTTTTCTGTTCAACTTTGTAACCTCAGCGTAGAGATGATGCTTGCCATCGTCAGTCAGTCTAGGCTTCGGCAATACCATGTGTAACGTTGTTATTATATTTGGCCTTGCCGAATAATTCCTTCAGGGCAAAGCTATGGTGCATCATGGTGAACTATGCTTGCATGTTCTCCTATCCCCATAGCAATGACACGTTGCCTATTGGTCGCATGTGTTCGCCCAATGACTTTCCAGAATTAAGAATGGTTCCAACTGTTGAAGTTTTTCAGTTAGAGTTCTCAGCAGTAGATGGTAGGCCAGCTTGGTTGCCCCAATTTGGATTTTTTGGAGTTCTTATAATCGCTTCTCCTTGGCTAAAATTAAAATGGGTGGACAATATGCATATTTGGACCTAGTGAAACATTCGTCAGTATGAGGTATTGTGTTTTTCATCAATCTCCAATGAGAGCATGTGTGGTGATATTCATCCTCTTAAAGCCGTCATTCCGTTCATGGAAGTAACATGTATGGTTTTCTTTCTCTTCCAGGTATTTCCCAATAATTTGTTCTGTCTGTTCTAGGGTAATAGTTTCCCCTTCTAATTTGCACCTTTCTTCTTTTCCTGTTGCAGTGTTTCTTTGCAAATGTAATAGTTGTTGTCTTGAATTGTCTGATTTTTAACCTCTATGTTAGACTGGAAATTACGAGGATGAAGTAGTTTTGGTCATGCACTTTAGAAAGTGGCTAAACGCAAGTGCATTCGAGAAAAGTAAGTAGGAGGAAAAAGTATCGCCCCCTCCTCCCAATCAATGATGCGAAGTGTAAATCCTCAATTACTTTGACTGCTAGTGGTGTGAGAGCCGAGTCAGACACAAGAGAGAAATTTATCGTGCTATTCTCTTTCCTCGCACACCAAAGGAACAGGAGATTAAAACTAATCCCTTCATCCCGAGTAACACAGTACGTCGATGAAACGTTTCGAAATGTTGCCTGTGTTGCTCAATGTTGCAAGTCGATGTGCTACATTGATACGACATTGCTTCAACGTTTTCGCTTGAAAGTTGCTGCGACACTTCTACGAATGTCATTGCACCATTTGCAACTAATATTGAGGGAATGTAAACATTCTTGACATTGAAAACGTAGCGACAACATTCTCGTACAATACGGGCTTAAAAGTTTTAGGAAATTGTGAAGTTCTCCTCCTTGCCACGAGATGGAGGATTAGGTCTCGCTTTTCCCTCACATTACACAAAAGCGCCCTTCTCCATTTCGTCCTTTGACAGCGCGTCGAGTGCCGACTCCCAGGTGGCTAGTAATTGGGCTCAGGTCGTAAAGGGAGCAAAGGTTAAGCGATCCCAGGAGGCAGTCATTAAGACTGAAAACAAGTTTCTCGGGTTGAGGGA